TGTAAACTAGATACAATGGCCAGTTGTGTGTCTCCGAAGAGGAAGATGCAGAGGGGGCGTGGCCATTTAGGACGAGGGTGGAGCCGGAGACAGGTTTTGCGGGAGGTTCCTGAATGACGGAGGAGTGCTGAGTCTGAGTCTCACTGTGAGTTCCGTTGATGGTCGAGTACTGCGCAACCTGTCAACAGAGAGAAGAACTTTCACTTTCAATTGTACATACAGCGGAACCTCTCCAATCCGGACACCAATGGCACAGAGGAAAGTGTCCATATTAGTGAGGTGTCCTTATTCTCAGGATGCCCCTAAAATGAGGACACCTCTCTAATTATTATGGACACATTTTCTTTCCCCAAGAACAGTTCTTGCAATGTTAACCACATAGAGAGGGGTCCACTGCACATGTATACTTAAGGGAATTATCCCTAAAGCACTAAGGGGACACGCTGTGCCATGTTAAAAGCCGACAATGTCTCGCCAGTTAACCATGGTAACGGAAACTGTGGGCGTGGTCATGGTTCGTAACCGTGGTACCAGACCTTGTTCTGTACAAGTCTCATGGTGCCGATCCTGGTGAGGACCAGCTGCCGTGAGAGAGACTCTCGCGGGACTCCGTCGGAGAATGTGTCGGAGTTGGGGAGAGCAGGTTCACAGACGTGTTTCAGGAACATGTTGGTGTAGGCACTGGATGAGGAGGGAGGGAGGGAGGGAGGGAGAGGGGAGGAGGGGAGGAGGGGAGGAGGGGGAGGGTAGAGAGCATCTACAGACATGCTGTGGTAGCTCAGTAGGTATATAAGAGCACTAGCCCTAGACTGCAGCGTCGTGGGTTCGAATCCCACCCAGGGCAGCTCTTCTTTCAAAAAGAGTTGTCCTGGGTGTAGTTAATTGACTTGTTTGCTTTTATGTAGACAAGCACACACACACACACACACACACACACACACACACACACACACACACCTCCAACCATTAACTTACTTGAACACATTCTCTGATATGTTCTTCAGCTCTTTCGGCTTCCTGCGTGTCACATGACAATCACACACAAATCACATGATCTACCAGACTCCACCCACCAGTTGCTTTGGAAACTCCCGGAGGTGGGAATCCCAAACCTCATGACCGAATTGAGGAAAGCCTTTCTCATCCTCGGAGTAAAGCCCAGGACCTGCGGAAACCGAAATTGAAAATAAAATGGCAAAAATGTCAACTATTCGCTCTCCACTGCTGCATGCCAAAATTTTAACCCCTTTCGGTGATAAAAGAGCAACAATACAGATAATACAGAATACCATTATTAGATGCGTTTTTTAAAAGTAGTGTGGTATCCGGACTAAATGTGGGGTGTGGCTTAATCCCCTCACCAGAGATAGGATACTGACGCGGCTTTCATAAACCGCACCCACAAGGGGTGTGGCTTGGCCCCGCCCACATGGGGGCAGAGGTCAATAAGCCGATAACCGTCATGATATGTGCGGTATAGAAAAGCCGGTTGGGGAATTGTATAGCTAGCGACCGAGGTCACTAGCAACACCCACAGGCCCGAAGTACCGCAGCATCACATGATAGTCACGTGATGGTCATGTGACACTCACATGTATCGTTCCATTGATTTTGGAGAGGAGTGGCGGTAGGCCTTCTGTTTGAGCAACCAGTGGCATGGGTTTCAACTGTTTCTTCTTACCAACTGGTGGAGAAAGAGAGGCGAATTAATTTAACCCCTACTTTACGTTACGGATTACACTACATGGTAAGGAGCACATACACTATACATATATTTATATACAACGAATGCCATGCCTTTTTTGGAAAGTGCGCAGTTCATTTTTCACCCATATTTAGAAACATTACGCTACTCACTCACTATAGCTAACCATCATTCATCGCACTACTGTAGCACATACACTAGGTCATAAAAATCCTGCATTCAGACAACACAGGTGTAGGCTCGTTTCGCTCTCTAACTATCGCACAAAAATTGACTGGATTTGCAAAAAAAATGGCAGGCTCACGAGAGAACTCGACGTCCTCCACGTCGGACTCCAGCTCGCTCTCCTCTTCCTCCGACTGCTTGTAGCTGGACTGGTCGCTGTCCAGAGCTGTCATATGACAGGTCACATGATCAGGAGAACAAGTCACATGATCAAGAGAACAAGTCACATGACATGTCACATGATCAGGAGTCACATGACATTTTACTTACCTCTCAAGTCTGCTGCACTTGCATCAAGATAGTTCACCTGCAGAATAATATTATATGCAGCAAAGCCTTGAAAAAAACACCCAAACTGCGAAAATATCTACAATTCCTACAATTTTGTCCATTCCCTCTTCCGTCCCACTCCATAACTCTCCCTCCTTTCTCTCTCTCTTTCCTCTCTCTCCTCTCCCTCTCTCTCTCTCTCCTCTCCCTCCCTCTCCCTCTCTCCATTTCTCCTCACCTGCTTACGAACCCTCTTCCCTTTCCCCAGTGTAGCCGCCTCCACCTCTCTCTGTTGCTCGTAGTGATGCCGTAGCAACCGCTCCCAGAAATCAGGGTCCGCCTGGGCCTCCTCCTACACAACAGGTCATGTGATCAGTCAGGTGATCAGTCATGTGATGCATACTTTGATAATTTCAGTAGTTTCTGTCTCGGCTTCTTCTCCCTTTTCCTTCATAACATACGACGCAACCTGTCAAAAAAGTGTAAAAAATTTAGCATGTGACTGTATGGCTAAAATTTTCCAGCAATTCAGTTAAATTTTTCCAGCTATTCAGGTAAAATTTTTACCTTGAAAGAAGAGAGATAGTCGTTTGCGAGTATGTTTTGCTGTCCGATTTCCGATTCTCCGTCGGTGATATCGCCACTACGGTCGAGAAGAGCTCTTATTGCGCCATCGTCATAGTGGATGCTGGTTGATTCCTGGTCTCCAGCTAGTGTGGGAGAGAGAGAGAGAGAGACAGGGGGAGGGAAGAATGGCTTGGGAATGAATTTGTAAAAAGTACTCTGATAGAAAAGGGAGTGAGGGAGAAAAGAGGTAGAAACTGTCCCGAAGAAATCAGTGGAGAGAGAGAGAGAGAGAGAGAGATCTCCTGATCACGAGAACGACCATTTTAGGTTCCTTTTACATCTGGGGCTCCAGGAACCACGTTACCTGACTCACCTGACGACTTCATCAATTAGCTTCTGTGTGTATATATGTATGTTAGTACTAGTGAGGCCAGGTCAATGCGTGGCACATTCGTCATGTGCCTAGAGCTCTGCCTGGGTACACCTCACACCTCATTGTTTGTTTGTTTGTATATGCAAAACAATGAAGAGTTTTACACACACACGAGAGAGAGAGGGAGGGAGAGAGACGGAAGCCATATACCAGGCTCCTCTTTGAAGAGATCTTCGGTCCCAAATCTCAGAATGTCGTCCAGTTCTCTCTTGGACAGCGCCTGTGTCGCCGCGCTGCCCATCCCCGGGCGCACCACCAGGTGAGTCAGCATCATCTTCCTCTTTGCCACCTCCGTGATCCTCTCCTCCACCGACGATCGCGTCACGAAACGATAGATCATTACTTTGTTGGCCTGCCCAATCCTGTGGGCTCTACTGAACGCCTGGAAGAGGGACGAAGAAGAGGAGGAAGGGGCAAAATTTAATGCATAAGCTAAAAATTTGAGGTACAAATTTGACTTCAACATTAATTTTTACGACTGTGCTATAGACAAAATTTTAATGCATTATGCTCACATGACAATTTTTTTGGACAAATCATTCAAATTTTGTAGGGTTTTCTGTATATACCTGTATGTCATTGTGAGGGTTCCAGTCCGAGTCGTAGATGATGACAGTATCAGCAGTGGCCAGGTTGATACCCAGTCCTCCTGCCCTCGTGGAGAGCAGGAACACAAACTGAGTGGCACCGGGAGCTGTGGAATGGGGGAATGGGGAATAGGGGAATTGAGGAAGGGAGGAATGAGGAAGGGGGGAATAGGGGGATGGAGGAATGGAGGAATAGGGGAATAGAGGATGGGGGAATAGGGAATGGAGGAGCGGGGGAATGTAGGAATGAGGGAATGGAGAAATAGGGGAATGGGGGAACGGGGGAATGGAAGAATGAGGGAATGGAGAAATAGGGGAATGGGGGAACGGGGGAATGGAGGAATGAGGGAATGGAGAAATAGGGGAATGGGGAACGGGGGAATGGAAGAATGAGGGAATGGAGAAATATGGGAATGGGGGAACGGGGGAATGAGGGAATGGAGGAACGGGGGAATGAAGCTCCCTCGAAAGTTTATTGGTATCGGTACCATTTTGTGAGGGTGTACGTGTGTCCTGATAAAAGCATGTCCTGAAAAATGTGTCCTGAAACTGGGGCGGTGGACTGACCGTTGAATCGGTCGATGCTCTGCTGTCTCTCCGGACCAGTCACGTTGCCATCGATACGCTCGAAATGGTAGCCAAGGTACTCCAGGAAATCCTCCAGAATGTCCAGCATTCGAGTCATCTGATTGGTCAATCACATCATCATGCAAATGACATCATCATACACCAATCACAAACATATTCAATTAATCGCTTAATTCTAATTAGTTAAGCGCCCACCTGTGAGAAGATAAGCACCCGGTGACCCTGTTTTTTCAGTTCCTTCAGCATTTTCTCGAGGATGATGAATTTTCCACCTGCTTGTATGAGTGCCTTTCCCTCATAGTATCCAGTGGCAGTCAGAGGTGCCTCCTGTAGGTCATGTGACACATCACGTGACTATCACGTGATCGCTAATTATTGTACCAGCTAAACACATTAGTGGTCTACAAACCCATACTAGCAGGAGATCATGTGATCATGAATAATAGATCACGTGACATGTCATGTGAGCTATGAATGAGAGATCATGTGACATGTCATGTGACCTGCTGGGCAGTGGGGAAAAGGTAGGGGTGGTTGCAGCATTTCTTCAAGTCCATCATTACGTTGAGGAGTGACACAGGTTGGGCTCCTCGGGTGTTCAGTTTCTCGAAATTCCGTGTCAGGATCCACCGATAGTATTTCCTGGAACGGAATAGGGACGCAGAGGTTATGTTTACTGTCAGTGCGGTGTCCTGATCAGTGATTAGCAACATAATATTGTAGTTCGTGAGATGCGTGTGGTGTTACACAATATGTGGGAAAGTTGTCCTGATTATGGAGGTGTCCTGATTAATGGTGTCCTGATTACGGAGGTGTCCTGATTAATGGTGTCCTGATTATGGAGGTGTCCTGATTATGGATGTGTCCTGATTAATGGTGTCCTGATTATGGATGTGTCCTGATTATGGAGGTGTCCTGATTATGGATGTGTCCTGATTATGGTGTCCTGAAACCCAGACTCACTGTTGCATTGGACTAAGCTCGACGCGGACAATCAACTCTCGTTTTGAAGGTATGTTTTTCAAGACATCCTGTTTCAGTCGTCGAAGAAGGTGAGGTGCCAATAGCTCGTGCAACTTCTTCACTTGTTCCTCTTTCGATATGTCCTGAAATTCGTCCTGGAAGTCCTCCAGGGAACTGAAAGTGAAAACAATGGTAACAAAATATCATTCTATTACGATGCAGTATGTTGGAAAGTACCGACTCAAAGAGAGAAGTAAACAAGAACAAACAACTAAGTAAACAAGCAAACAAGTAAACAAACAACTAAGTAAACAAGCAAACAAAAACAAACAAAAGTACAGTAGACAAACTAAGTAAACAACAGTAGCAAAACACTAAGTAAACAACCGAACAAGAAAACAAACAACTAAGTAAACAAGCAAACAAGTAGACAAACAACTAAGTAAACAAGCAAACAAGAAAACAAACAACTAAGTAAACAAGTAGACAAACAACTAAGTAAACAAGCAAACAAGAAAACAAACAACTAAGTAAACAAGTAGACAAACAACTAAGTAAACAACCAAACAAGTAGACAAACAACTAAGTAAACAACCGAACAAGAAAACAAACAACTAAGTAAACAAGCAAACAAGTAGACAAACAACTAAGTAAACAAGCACAACTAAGTAAACAACCAAACAAGAAAACAAACAAACAAGGCTGACCTGAAGCCCTCTCTGTTGAGGAAATTAAGGAGGTGAAAAAGTTCCTCGAGATTGTTCTGAAGCGGTGTGCCAGTCAGTAGCAATTTGTACTTAATGAAATATGTATTCAGAACCCTGAAAAACTGGGGGAAAGGGAGAGAGGGGGGGGAGAAGAAGGCCAAAAAAGTGTTATGAAACTGGAAGAAGCAAAGCGGGGTGCAAAAACTAGAGACAACAGACAAATAATTTGGTATAAAAAATGATGTGACTCACTTTCGACTGATTATTTTTTAGTCTGTGAGCCTCGTCCACAACCAAAACCTACAAATTTAAGACACATGGTAAAAAATTTAACGGGCCGGTGAAAAAAAGTACTCTAAAAACCACACCTCCCAATCAATGGACTGGAGAATTGTGGAGTCGACCGAGATGAACTCGTAAGAAGTGAGAAGGACATGGAACTTGGTGGGCACCTCTTTCTGCAGAGGAAGATTGAAAGTGAAACACAAATCGTGGACACAACAAAAACAAGCTGCAGAATGCTTACTTTCATTTTGAAGAGTTTAGTGCCGCTTCTGACCGCCCCATCCACAAAAGAAAACTCGTTTTCCCTGAAAATTGAAACAGGAAACTGACACAAAAACAATAAACACTTTATATGTAACCACAAAATGAACGGTTTTAAAAATATATCTGATTTCTGATACTGAATTTGGGACGTCCAGTTTTAGAATGGGACAGACCTGATAACGGCCCGGTTTTCCCGGTCTCCACTGTAAGTGACGACGTACAGGTCCGGTGCCCATATCTCAAACTCCCGTTCCCAGTTGACGATGGTCGACAGGGGGGCAGTAATTAGAAATGGTCCGTTGCTGTGATCCTGAACGGGAGAGAACATTTTTAGGGGGACAGCCGGGAAGAGCAGTCAAATGAACACTGTTGGCTCCACCCACATTCTCTCTCTCCTCTCCCCTTACCTCCTCTCTCCTCTCTCCTTACCTCTCTCACTCTCTCTCTCTCCGTCCTCTCTCTCTCTCTCTCTCTCTCTCTCTGTCCTCTCTCTCCTCTCTCTCTCCTTACCTCTTTCACGAGGGAGTAAAGAAAAACGATTGTCTGTATCGTCTTCCCGAGCCCCATCTCATCGGCAAGAATTGTGTTAGTTTTCTGTAACCACGAAAACCTCAACCAATTGACTCCCTCCAACTGATAGTTGTGCAGAGTTCCGTTGATGATGTAAGAAGGTTGTTCCTCATACTTTTCTGCTGGCTAGAGGGAAGAGAGGGAGAGGGAAGAGAGGGAGGAGAGAGGGAGGAGAGGGAGAGAGGAGAGAAGAGAGAGGGAGAGATGGAGAGAGCAGAGAGGGGGGGAGAGAGGGAGGTAAAGAGAAAGGGAGGAGGGGCGAGTGAGGCAGAAGGGAGGAAGAGAGAAAGAGAGGAGGAGCCGGAGGGAGAAGCAGAAAATGGCAATAGAGGGTGAGAAAGATCGTCACAGTGGTTTCGGTGTTTATGGGTTGTACTTACATCTGTTTTCGTTTTCATTTTTCCTCTTCGTTTTTCCGCCTTCTTCAGTTTCCTTGGGTCCATTCTCTGCCTGTGTGTTGGAGGAAGTTTACAGAGGAAGATTGTTGAGTGGTCAATGTCCTATATGGTTTAGAGAGTGGTGCCTTTGGTACTAGTGCGCTGCCAACTCCACCAGTAATAAGGCCAAAACCACATCCTAACACATGCAGCTATACACATTGATTAACATGCTCTAATCTAGAGTACATGTGTATCCGTGGTGTATGACAGAACTATGTAGGAGCCAGTCGGCATCACATGACAGTCACATGATCAGGTCCCATACAGTCTCCAAGGAGAGATGTACAGTGGAAGCTCTATTAGGACACCCCTGAAATGAGGACAGCTCTTTAATAAGGACACCATTTCTTTCCCAAAGAATAGAATTGGACCCCTGAAACGAGGATACCTCACTAATTGGACACTTTATTCTGTTCCATTGGTGTCCATATTTCCTACACTTCTTAGCCATTTAACCCCATCTATCCTCCTTCCCTCCCCTCTCTCTCTCTTCCTCACCTCAGCTGATTGTAGTCATAAATGGCCTCCTTCCACCCCTTCAGATACGTCTCATTAGCCAAGTCCTCCCAAGTCGACTGCTCATACGGTAACTCCTTCCACTTTACCAGGTACTGCGTCTTACCCTTCTTACTCCTGTGGAGATCACATGATCATTAGAACAGGTCACATGACCCAACACAAAAGTCACATGAGCTTATAAAGTAGTGGATTTTGCCAAACAAGCAAGCATGTATATACCATCGCAACATCATACATGTGTGCTTGAGTACAAAAGTACATCTCTCCCCTCCCATTTACATGTTCACATGACAGTCACATGGTAAGGTCCCATAGTAAGCCGGCATCACATGACAGTCACATGACACCAACCTCTTGTTGATGACTCTCTGAATGAGGAGGGAGGAGGGACGAACGCCAGCTCGTAGCAACGTCAGTTCCTGTTCTTCCATCTTCTCGTCAGGGTGAGACGTCGTGCTTCTTCGCTTGTGACGGTGACGTACGTGCGGTGGGAGGTTGCTAGGGGGCGGAGTCTCCATGTTGTGTTTCCTCATGAACGTACGCAGCGTCACTTGGCGATGGACTTCCAACTGCAACGAATCGAGGAAATGGCTGACATGAAAGACAATTCCCCTTTTTGTGTGTTGCGGAAAGAAAGTAGGGGTGACCTACATACATGTCGTACTTTTAGTGAGCATGTAGGGACACATGCCAACCAATCATCCCAAATCCTTTGTCTGCAGCTGGAGAATGCAGTGCATTTTGTTAACCTTTTGTCCTCAATAAAGAGACAAATTGAGTGTTTGCCACGTACTGAAATGTGCCCTTGCGTACCATTACACAATTCTTCTGTTTGCTTGTTTGTTTGGTGTTTGTTTGTTTACAGCTCACCCTCATCTCCGAGACCCAGGAACACTTCCAGTACGACTTCCCTCTCCACTTGACAAGAAACTCGCGAAACCTGTGCTTCTGGTTAGAGAAAACCGGAAAAACCAGTTATCATGGAAACTCCTTGTCCAATGTTATGTAGTTACGAACCTTTGGAGGTGCCTGTTTTTTCGCACTCCCCGGACCATCTTGAAAGCGAAAACAATTCAAAATGAAACTATTCCCCACACCCAATAAACAACACACAAAGGAAAGAGAAAAACAACAGTCTTTCTAAAAACTCGTTATGTACCTGCGATGACATCATCGTCCATTTCTGACTCCGCCCCTTTTACAGGATGCTCCGCCCACTTCCATGTTACCAGTCTCTCCACTTTACCACTTAGTGGCTCTGCCCTTGCCTGTATTATGACATCTATTTTAGAAATGCTACAAGAAAGTGTAAATGCTACTAAAATAGGATGGTGTAACTGTTACTAAAAATAGGGACGATGTAATCACCTGACATCGTGGGCAGTGCCATTCTCCATCTGGAATTTTGTCCATTGGCGGCACAAGACATTTCAGATGGTAGGCAAGAGGGCAGAAATCGCAACATAAAAGCTCGCCACCGTCTTTGCAAGTCTGACAGAAATCTGCATGTTCGTCTTCTGATTCTTTTCTGTCGATGTCATCATCTTCTTCTTCATCGTCTTCCTCGTCCTCTGAATCGCTACCCCTTATGCTGCTTTCCTCGTACTGTGGGGTGGAGAGGGAGAGAGGGAGGAGGGAGAGAAGGAGGGAGGAGGGAGGGAGAGAGGAGATGGGGTGAGGGTGAGAAAGTGAACAACCAAGAAGAAGAACACTCACAACTGAGACGTCGTCGTCTTCTCTGTCTCCAAGATGAAGGGAGCTGTTCTCAGAGTCAACTCCGAGTTTCTTCATTTTCTCTCCCTCAGAACTCTCCTCCCACTGCTGCTGAAGATAAAGGGAACAAAAAGTTAGGCTGTATCATTAGTAGACTGACATTAGACTAACAAACAAATTATTAGGCCAATCACAGCAACAGGGTATGTATGTGAAAACAAGGATGTTGAGACATGTACACCGAGATGAGAGCTTTATATCACTTTTCTGAAAACCTGCAGTTTATACTTTGTTGCCCCCCTTAAATTTGGACCCACAGTATGGGAGTAATAGTTACAAACCTCTCCAAGACTCTCGGCAAAGAAAATGGGACTGTCAGAGACACCAGTTCTTCCAATCAACTTTATCTTCATCGGAGGTACTTTCAGACTGCCTCCTCGCTTCCGACCTTTCACTCTCCCTTCCCTCCCTCCCCCCTTCCCCCTCCTGGCCCCGCCCTCTCCCAATCGCCGTGACGATCCCACTCCCGGTTTCACGGGGGGCGTGTCCTTCGCCGAACTGGTTCCGGTGCTAGCTGGCGAGTCGACAAACTCCATGTCCTCCTCGGCACCCATGGAGTAGACGTTTTTGGCGAGATTTTTCGCTGCTCGTCTCTGCGGTCTCCTGCCACCCCCCGCCTCCTCGTCATCGTCTGGCTCTGCCCCCACCACGCCCCCCAACGAGTTCACCTCTGATCTCCGTCGCTGTTTACCTGTAAACAACAAACAACGTCTGTTTACTCCTTTCCCATTATTACGCAGTAAGAAAAAGGACCATGAGTAGACTGACAACCGCAAACAGGAAGCCATGATTTTTGAGCTAACGACTAAATCAACAACCTTAGAGGTAAAAGATTTGATGACAATGTTGCAAAGCAAAAGGCAAATGCATCAATACATTATTGCGTACATATGAACACACACCAGGACAGCCCTTGAAAAACAGCATGAAGATATTGGACCATGTGATGCATGTTCGTATTCTTACTGTCTTTTCTAGTTGCCTGGATCGCCTTCCATTTCTGGTTGATGATGACGTTGATTTCGCGGTGGTTCCCGCCGGATACTGCATCCACAGGTACGGGCGCATGCGAGTATGGAACTGGGACAGAGAGCTGGCCGACAGGGCGTCCTCAGGGACATCGACCAGCGACGTCTCGCTCTCCTTATCCACCGCCATTGACTCAAGAGGAGACGGCGTGTGACGAACCAGGATGTCTGAAGAGATAGAACGAGTATTTTCAGGCAGATTTAGGTTTTGTGAGAAAGAAATCAATAAAAATGCTAACCATCAGATTTTGCCTCTGACTCGGTTGTCTCGGTAACGTCGTCCAGTATTGGGGGCGGGGTGTACGTCCGATAGTGTCCTCCAGAGGTCACCTCTCCTCTGCTCGTCATTATTATCCCCTCGTCCCACTCCCCGTCGCGTGCCTGCTAGAATTTCAGGACAGTCAATAAACATTCAGGACAACGACGATACCGTATACATGTGACAAGAGAAAGATAGCAGTTTCACAAAATGAAAAGGTGTTCTTGATCGCTAGGGATTAGACATTACATCATCGTATAAATTTCACCACAACAATAGTGACTTCAAGGCAGCAATAGCCATTTCAAGACAACAAGAGCGTTTCAGGAAAACAGAATAAATAGATGTGTCTTGAGTAACCTACATATCTCCCTTAGTATGGTTTAGAACACCGTTACCATATATCATTTCAGGACAAGGAAAGATTTTCTTGCTATTATTATAATAACCTGTGGAGATCTTTTCGTGTCAATTATCAGGTCACCATCATCTGAATAGGACTAAATTGGAAAACATCAATTAGTGAAAAGTGATATATCATAGTCCCTCTTATGAAGCAGTGCCCGCACGAATGTCATAAGACAGTGTCCGGGCTATTGGTGAGTGTGTCCTGATGTGATTGATTGACAGTGTGACCCTGTTCGCAGAGGTGACCTATATGTGGTGGAGCTTGTGGTGTGGCTAACCTCTTCCTCCTGTATATGAGGCCTTTTCCTGCTCATCTTTCATGTGTGGAACTGTAAAAACAAAAATACGGAGGTGGGGCGGACGGCATGCGACTAAAGTATGGGTGCGGGTAGTTGCGGAGAAGGGCGTAAATGAAGGCGTGTAATAGTGTGCAATGAATATCCGGAGCCCGCCCACGCGAATGCGGAGCTCGGCTAAATATACGCACGACGCGCTCGCGTAAGATCCTCTCCCCTGGCTACCATTCTCTCTCCCAACTCGGCAGCCAGCCGCCGCGCTCTTTAGGACGTGGATGTGTACGCGCTTCCGACTTGCCACTCTCGATCCTCGCGCGTGCGACTGCGGCGAGCGAACGGCGAAATTCTCCCTCGGCATTATCCGTCCATTTTTCTCTTGGTTTTCTCTTCCTCGTGTGCGCTCGTCTCGTGCGGTCGTAGTGTGCAGTCGAACGCGGTTTCCTCGGATGTCCCACTTTTCTCGATCTTCACTCGCCGAGATCCTCAAAAATCACACCGCTTCTTGACGACGGTTTGTCGCTATTTATCGCGGCACTGCTGTTCCCCAATAGTAGCGCGATAGGAGTGACTCGAGATCCGGCTGTGGAAGTAAATGGCGGTAGTTTTCACACACCTAGAAGGCCTCCTCTTCCACGTCCATGATGTATTGAACAAAACCAGTGCATTCCTTATTGTTATGCCTTGAATCAAACTGACCAATCAGGAGAGAGGACACTGCGGTCACAGACTTTCCTCTCCCCTGTGCTGGTTACATTCTTAGCTATTATCAATCAGCTGACCACAAATATGGAATATTTACAAGTTGTCAATGGTGTAAGCACTGTGTTTGTGCGTTGCCCTAGCGACAAAAATTGACAGTCGCCAGCAACGAAAGTACGAGAACCACGGCTGAGCGATGGACCTCAAATAGCTTCGGGATCTTTCTTGGACGCGGGAGCACCCAAAGGTATCCTCCTCAAACTTCATTTCATCTCAACCATCACCCTTCATTTCTCCCCCAAACCCACCATTTGTGTGCATATATTACATAAAAGAAGAAAGTGGTTCTATTTATAGAACGCCCTCGTAGCAATACAAGTGACATAATTTTACGAGAAGCCCCATTCCGATGCTAGCTCCTGGTTTGTAATATGCGGAGTGGTGCCCCGACTAACGAGTCACCCTCCCAGTGCCAAATTATGCTCAAACTGAGAAAAACGCGGAAGTGCACCGGTTTTTTGTTTGAAGTTGAGCGGTTACATCATAATGACATCATCAGAGAGTAGGTGGAAATACATTGATACATGGACCAACAACACGTGTATGCAAAAGTACACATGAATGAATCAAAATTCCTAGTTTTTTGAGAGTCACTTTCGGCAAAGATCCTCTCGGAGGCAAACAGGTTTGACTAGTTGTTGGAACCGGTCGAGAGCAGGAGCAACAGGATACCCGCTCCTCCGGTCGCAACCATGTAGTTACTGAAGAGTAGTGGGAGTTAGGGAAACGGAAGAGATGAAAAATGGAGCTGAATGGAAAATGGAGAGCACACACGTTGTGTGCGTATCAGCAGACTTTAGAGAACATGGAGGAGAGAGAGGGGAGACAAGACAGAAAATGAGAGACAGAGGGAGGAGAAAAGACAGGCAGACAGACAGGCAGGCAGGCAGGCAGGCAGGCAGGCAGGCAGGCAGGCAGGGAGGCAGGCAGGCAGACAGGCAGACAGACAGGCAGGCAGACAGACAGGTGAGAGGGACAAGTAAAGACGGGGGGGGGATACACGAGAGGTGGAAATGACCGCATGAAGTAGAGGAAGGCAAGAACCAGGAAGAGAAACAGGGCATTGTTGTAGAAGATGGAGAACGTGGTGGCCTCTGTGTCCGCGACCTCATTCTTCTTCCACGATATCCTGGTGCACGCACAAGAACCGAGAGAAATGGAGTATGAAAGTCAGCATGCTCACATGCATCTGTGTGTGTGTGTGTGTGTGTGCACCGTCCCCACCTCTCGTCTTTCTCAGCCTTGTTAAGTTTCTTTCCAGAAGCGGCGATATCCCCGAGAACTTCCTTCGAAACTGCCACCTCGCGACGTAGAGAGATCCTTCGACGACGGGAAATAAAAAAATAAACCGCGACTACAACGAAATTTTAGGGAATTTCTCTCACCTGTGCTTGAGACTGATCTTGATCTTGCGATACGCTTCGGAGATGAGATAGGTGGATACCAGCGTCATGATCAGGAAGAGCGGAGACCACGTTACCATGTCCACCACCATCACCCGCCAGTACAACCCTGCAATAAGTCGTGCAGCAATAACTCAAATTTTTCCCCGTTACTCTCACATGCTTTCCCCATTCTTCTTTCTCTCTCTTTCTCTTTCTCCCCGTGCCCCCCTGTATACAGTTCAGCGTACACAAAGGCAGCGCTGAAACGATAAATCCGTTGCCGTAGAACAAGGCCGAAGTAGTTCGTGTCACGTGACGGCTGCTCTCTAGAAGCAATCGCTCCTCTTCTGCTTGCTTCGTCTTGGGCGGCATCTCTCTTCCCGATCGCTCGAGTTCGGCTTTCTTCTGCTGACAACTTTCTTTGTGTACGTGTGTCTGCTGCTCCCCAGAAAACAACGTGGCTGGTCACGTGACAAATTGAGTGCTTTTCTCATGAATAATTCATCGTACATACACAAACAAACACCACAGCAGAGTTGTTGATGACGCGTCAATCGCGCACGTGAGGGTCACGTGACTCCAGTTGAGGGTAGTGCTTCTTCCATAGCGTGTAGTAACCTTTGAATCCATTGAATCTGAGCTTCATCCTGGGAGACTGCCGGGGGAAATAGTGACATCATCAACGAAACTCAACAACATCATTTCCCCAAACGCACCTTTGGTACACGGCCGTCTGCCACTTTTGCCAAAATCCTCAAAATGCTTTTATCAGGTTCCAACCTACTGTGTCTCATCTCCTATGGAAACGAACCGGCACTGTTCAAATTTAAAAATCTGACCGATACTCAAATTTGAAATCCGACAGGAACCTTACCTTCATGAGTGCAGTGAGGCATTCGTAGTCCAGTCTTCCAGCTGCATCTCTCAGTAGCACCCCCACTGTGTGGGTGTCTGGAGTCACACCTTCCTTCTGCGTATAAATTAACATTTTCGTGAATTTAAAACTACTTGTTGACCCCATGTTTTATGTGATTCCTGATTCCTAACACACTAAAATTTTTTTATGGGTTCAATTTTGCGTTAAAAATCAGGTGAAATATTTTCTACAGCAAAACGATTTCATCTAACCTTCATCTGGGTTAGTAGAGAGTGGCTATCATGCTGGGTCCTGCAGCCGAGAGCCAGCAAACGGTACCTCGCTGAACCGGAGAGAATACCAGCCTCCTCGCCAAACCTCCGCAATACCTGTTTGGAAAACGAGTCAAACGAGTTATTGTGAATACTAATAATAAATGCCTACCTCGACAGCTCTCCCGTTGCCAAGTCTCAGTTGCAGGTGAATGGCAGACTCCAAACATTTCGCATCGGGAACAACAGCCACTCCCCTATTGTTATTGGCCACACCCTCTTCATCACAAGCTCCGCCCACCACACCCTTGACCATACCCAACCAATCACCAGCAATCTTTGATAAGTGGTCCAGTGTCCTTTTGTCAGGCTTCAATCCCTCTTCACTCATCACCGACAGCACTCTCGCCACACCCCCCTGATCAATCCACCTCAATCCACCCTCAGTAATATGCATGGTCAACAGAGGACCTCCACTAACAAAAAGACGAAGATTTACTCTAACGTTTGAAACCACTTCAAACGGATCGCATTTCGTGTTATTTCTTCTCCTGGAATTGACTGAATTAGTGTCGCGACTCAAGACGTCCGTTTGAGGCGACATTTCACGTAAGGATTCCGAATTTTCAGAAGATTGTTGCGAAACTAAGGAGACTGAGTTCTCGTGTGTCTATAGCAGGGAGGAGGATTGCCGCGTCTCCCCTCTCCTTAATCTCCTCCGGGATTCCTGCAACTCTAAGGCACCTCAGGAGAGCGTGATAGCACACCAGGTCGGGTGTTACTCCCAATGCTGTCATCTCTCTCCAAACGTGTTCCACCCTTTCCATCCCTCGCGTCTGATCCTGCGAGCAAGCGTGAGGAGACGCGTAAACCGTGTTAACGATCGCCTCCTTCGCTACACTCGACGAATGTCGCCTGCGCTCCACACCTCGTCCGTCATTCGCAGGTCGTCATGGCAACCATAGAGATGTTGGTCGCTATGGTGTGAGAGGAGTCCCTGCGATCTACCTAACCTCGGATAAAATCAACCTTTCGAGGAGGGGTCGCGAGGACGGAACCCACTCTTGAAAGCTCTGAATGAGACTGCGTAAGTGTGGTTTGATGGAGGGAGATCTCTCTTTCTTTAGCTGAAAAACAAAGAACCGTAACCATAATTATGTAGCAAGAATTATATTTTGATTATCATGTACATGCAATCCCTGCTTTAGGACACCTTGAAAGAGGCCACCTCTCTAAGTACAAAACCCCTTAAATGATGGCACCTCTCTAAGGACAAACCCCCCCCCCCAACCCCTAAATGAGGGACCTCTCTAAGGACACCCCTGAAATGAAGCAACTCTCTAAGAAACAACGCCCTAAATAGCACTCTCTACGGAGGACAACCCTTTCCTTTCTCACGAACCCTCACACTAATGACCCTCACTAATACAGACATGTTCTTTCTTCTTTCCTGGATTATTTTTGCTGTCGTCAATTGCTATCCAATAAATATGTAAAGTCTGTACCCACCGTCGTTGAGTATTTGAATGAAGGCTCTGGGGCGTGTTCCGAGCGAACAACAGGACATCACAAAATCCAGAGATAAAACAAACACACAAGATTGTTGAAGACGACAGTTGACGGTCGACCTTTGCCCAACGCCATGTCTGGAAACCTCCTCCTCCTTCCGCGCCTCTCCACCTATATAGCCACAGAAACACTCTTTCTAGTTCTACATTATGTCCTGGAGTTAATTTCTGTTGACTTCTACGAAAACTACAAAATGTTACTAAGTATTTTTTTTTATATAGCCTAAGGTACAAGTTACTGTCAATGCATAGTTTTGGTTCACCTTGATGAAATCTACAGCCAAAGTATCAAGGTGAATACTCCTACTGCTACGTACTAAGGCAGTCACGATAATGTACGTTGTCATTTTCACCTTTTTCCCTTTCAACGAGGTTGTATGTGACGAGTGAATCTCTTCTGTTTTGCCTTCCAGGATCAACTCTCCTCCCCCCTCCCCACCCCCATCACGTGACCCTTCCTTTTCGCATCTCGTCCGTTGTTTCATACTCATTCCCCAGGTTTGGCGGAATGGATAGATGCAGAACGACACTCCACGTAGGTATAAATTCCCCGCATGTAGGTGTACAACGGATCGTAC